AAACGCATGCTCTCTGGTTCAATATCGACCGGTTCAGTCAGACGTCCCATCCTTCAAGATTCAAAATGATGTTGCCAGGCTCTTTTTGGACATAACCATCCGATCTTTAAAAGCTGGCGACTGCGTATGGGTAAGACGTGTCATCGACTGGAGGAATAATCGACGAACACATCCTTGACCAACCAAAACCCATAAGCAAACCTAAAGACCTTCTTGGATGACGGATGAGAGAGAACAAAATGGATGAAGGGATAGTTCCTGGGATCACCACGATATGTAGTGTGTGATTACGTCGATACTATTACATTATTATTCACCCATGAAAGGATGGAATAAAGAATAAAGCTCCCGGCGTTGATCAATCCCTGAGGGATGCGCCATGCATTCGACTTTATTAAGCATCGTTTGGAGGTGACTGAATGCATATCTGGCCTTTAAAATGACTCGCGGTGGCCCGCCGATGTGTTGAGCCAGTGCTGTTGTCCTCCCAGACCAGTCTGGTGCCAATTTACCGAACCAGGAGAGATGGAAGGCTAAATGAGCCGTGAGCACGGGGATCGATTTTACGTGTATGAAGTAATTGAATGCATATTTGGCCTTTATAATGACTCGCGGTAGCCTTATCGAGACAGTGCTACTATCCTCTCAGACAAGTCTGCTACCAGTTTGCCGACCTCGGAGGGATGAAAGGCTTGGTGGGCCATGGGCGCCTGGATCGATTCCACGTGTGTGCTACAGAGCGTCTCCGACCACTGGGCCACACGCGCAACTGTTCACCTATAAGTAAAACAATAAGTAATGATCTGATATTCCAATATCAGCTTTTGTGAATGAAGAACATAATAACAACCTTGTGTGTGCTTATCCAAGAAAACAACGAGTGATTTATCAATGCTGAGATTAATAGAAAGTCAGTTGCTCGTTCTTTTCTGCTTCGTTCTTGTTCCTGCTTTTTTTAACACTATTAAATACCGTTTTAAGTTTTTTTCAACACTATTAGCTTTCGTCTGATCCACAAGGACGGGACTGCCTGTGGTGGTGACGACCCCGGGCAAACTTTGGCCTGGCTGACCTCGGGATTCCAGGGAACTACAATGGCTAAACCAGCTTGACTCCGCAGAAATGAAGATTATGCTGGGGCCCGCACAACCAATGAGGACGGGTCAAATCTCGTCGACACGTTTCCAGTTTTCCGATCGATTCAGCTGTAAAGTCAATCGGAAACAGCGGTGGCGGATTTCCCAGGTGAATAAGATCGCTTGACACTCTTGTCAAAGTGTTTCCACGGATTTTCAGAATTAAGTTATAATTACACATTCGGCAATCATTCTGGAATGCAAAAAGAATAAAGATAAAGATCATTAGAAATGAAAATCGACGAAGTGTCAAATTGCCTGGGAAACCGTGACACAAGGCGAAAAACAGCCGAGTCGGTTTTTTCCTCAAACTTCTTTAGTTCTAGGGGATTCCATCCATATATTTCTAGTTAGTCCAAGAACAACAGTGTTTCGCGAATACAACAAAACTAGTTATCGATCGATCGATATGCACCTTTTACATGGCCTAGTATTATTCTGTCTGGCATGGACATGCCTCCATAGCAAAGTCACACAGGAAAGTGCTGATAAGTTGCAAGGGAATTAATACAGGACTTGCAGCTTTTCTATTGCATAAGCCTAGGCAAAATTTTTTTTCTGGATGGGGCACTACCATATGTCAATACTGGGCTTGCATCATGGACTGTTGTCATTGAATTATAGCATAAATCGCGATCTCGTAAACTCTGCAATTTCGTAGAATTAGAATAAATAAGTTTATTTCAATGGTAACTTTTTATTCGCTGTATAGTATAATTTTTCACCGCCGGGTATGATGCGAAATACAACCACAGTGATGCTGAGATATTTGCAAAACACCGGACCGTAGGTGTCTGCGGTTGGAGACGAACGCACCACTACCCTTTCCGGATGCTAACGCGCTCACCACTACGCCATGCGTGTCCTTAGTTTCAGCTGTCTCTCAGCTAGTTCTATCGATCAGTGCCATCAGCAATCAACCGTCACCGGGATTGTGGTTGTATCTCGCATCATACCCTGCCGTGAAAAATTATAGTAGGCAGCAAATAGAAAGTTACCATTGTGATTTCAACTGTAGCCTCAGCTTAACTGGGTTCAATGCCAATTTGGGCTCTCCGGATCAGTCCCGTTGACGGGGATTGCTGATTGCACTGATCGATAAAACTAGGTGAGAGACAGGCGAAATTTATTTCATGTTTAAAAAGATACAGATTTTAGCGGTCTTTATTTGATTAACAAGGTTTATTCGGACTTAAGATACGCCAGTTTAAAGATACAGGCTGAATTCCTACATTAATTTTCGAACAATTTATCAGCTGGAAGCCTCCATTTGTGTGGGATAAAACGGCTAAACTCTTCCTAGGTTAAAGATTTAGGATAGCCCTAGCACGACTATCTGGAAGACCCAAGAAAAACACTTTTAAGCAAACAGAAGCGAAGTACTTGTGAAGAAAGATCATCTAAATGCTAAGTAAGTAGGGTTTGACATCGGCACTTAAAGCAAGTCATTCTTTTCGAATGAATTTTTATACAATTATATGTCTTCCAGAAAATTCATGAAGCAAAAAGGAAAATGGATCCTTGAGGAAAAATACCGGCTTAATATATAGTCAATTCGAAGTAATGATAACAATGTGAAGGCATTAAAACTCGTCATTCCATCCATACTTTCTCTATTGACACTCTGTGTTAGAAACAAGCAAGCTTTCTGATGGATCCATTGATCTTGTGCCCTTCTCGATGGCCAGCTGCCATATGCTCTCATCCGGACGACAACTAACTGTTGTCTTCGAAAAGCGCGCTATTTCACATCCATTAGTTCTTCTTTTTTTATTTGCGTAAATATTCCGTTTTTATGGATGTAGATAAAACATAGTAATATTGATTCACATCAACGCGCTACTGTGTCGTATAGCATTGGCGACTTACTGGGATAGCTATTTTCTATGATCCTCCTTCTGCTGCACACAACAGAATGAATGAACTTCGTTCTGACGGAAAATATCCTCGGATCCACGAAAAAATAGATCTCAAAACACAGATATTGCATCCAGTTGCTGGAAACAATCCTTTTTTAACAAATCACTTTTGCTCTTCAGATCAATCCCATTGACGGTGATTGCTGATGGTACTGATCGATAGAAAAACTATCTGAGAGATAGGCAAAACGAAAGACTCGCATGGAGTAGTGGTGTGCGCAGTAGCCCCAGCAAAGCATAATAGCGCGTTCGGTCACCATCGCAGACACCAGCGGTCCGGAATTTTACAAATATGTCAGCACCATCATCCCTATATTTCACTTTGCACTTTTTTCATAACTCCTCTGAAGGATGTGAAAATCCCAGAAAATTCCACGTGAAATCCTACTGGATTCTTCAAAGACAGAGGGTGAGATCTATTACAATAATGGGTTTCCTATAAATAAAACCGGATATGGCTCCTCTGGCTCCAATGCATTTAACCGAGAAAATCTTTCGCCTTTTACTAAAGATTTCCGTGCACTGGAGCAATTATGAGTATTTACCAATTTTTGCAATCCCCTCGAAAGAAAATCGAATATATTGTAATTCTAACTTATTATTTATTGCCTACTCTTTTTAACGGCAAAGTATACTTTGCGAAATATAAATTTAATGGTGCTGAGATATTTGCAAAACTCCGGACCGTAGGTGTATGCGGTGGGGAACGAACGCACGATTGTCCTTTTCGGGGAGTAAAGCGTTCACCACCACACCATGTAGGTCCTTTGTCTCGCCTATCACTCAGCTAGTTCTATCGATCACTTACCATCAGCAATCACCCGTTAACGGGATTGATCTGGGTAGCCCAAATCGGCATTGAACCCAGTTAAGTTGAGGCTATAGTTATGATCAGAATTTTAACCTTTTCATTTACTGCCTATCATCTGCAGACACCTGCGGTCCGGAGTTCTGCAAATATGTCAGCATCACTGAAGTTATATTTGCAATGGACCATGCCATTAAAAAGAGTAGGCAGTAAGTAAAGCGGTTAAGATTGTGATTATAACTAAAGCCTCAGCTTAACTGGGTTCATTGCCGATTTGGGCTTCACAGATCAATCCCGCTGAAGGGTGATTGCTGATGGCAGAGATCGATAGAAACTAGCTGAGAGACAGGCGAAACGAAGGACCCGCATGGTAGTGAACACGTTATCCCTCGTAAAGGGTAATAGTGTGTTCGATCCACACCGCAGACACCTGCGGTCCGTAGTTTTTCAAATATCTTACCATTACAGAAGTTATATTTCGCAACATACCCTGCCATTAAAAAGGATAGGCAGTAAATAAAAAGGTCAAGTTATTTCGCTTGAAGCCCACTTCAAGTCTGAAGGGATATCTCCTTCTTCGCCTTCTCCTTTTCCAAAACACCTTGGAATTTTAAAAGATGTAGTATTATCTTGGGCATGAGATCACTCACCCTGTTACTATTTGTACTCTTGTCTCGTCCTATCTTGAAGCATCTTACATATGGTATACGGTCTCTTTAACACGGACTAAATGGCGCTTAATCTTGTATTACCGCTTGAGACTGTGCTTAATCCTCTGCTGAGCTCTCTCTGATTCCAAAAATTCATCCGAGAAAACTTCTTGTAAATCGTCAATTTTGGAAAAAAAAGTTTTTTTTGGGCAGATCTGGTTTCAAAAGCACGACAAACAAACTCTTTGCACTATAATAAGCAGCCGGAAAGAGAACAGATTTAAGTCGATGCATGCGTTCCACTCTGTCTTTTCATATATACACTAGCAAATGCAGTCTTTCTCACCTCACCTATATATGCATATCCCACTAACGAGTTGAGCTCATACGCCAATAGATAAAAGCTATATATACTCCAGTTTATGGTCGTAAACCGTCAGAAAATCGATGACATCGTTACCATCAGGTTATTCTGTATAGATGAACCATGCGAAGGCGATGTGTAATCCCGAGCCTTCCGGACGTGGTTCTACGGCACATCTTCAGCTTTCTCAACTATCGACTGTTGTGTAAAGCAGAATCTGTGTGTCGACGCTGGAAAACCGCCGTGAAGTCGTTGATAAGATACCAAATTCATGAAATCATCATCGAACGAGTACGTTGACATTTTCTACTTATCACTCACATCGTATCACTTTGATAAACTCATTTTCAATTTATTAACTGGACGAGTTATCGTGAACTTAGGCAGGCGTTTTTTCTCTTGTGCACATAAATTGTCGCCTGATGATGCGTTTTAGTGAGTCATAGAAGACTTCTAGTATAAAAGACGAACAATAATTTGAATAGTAGATGGAAAATTCTAGTCGACTGAAAGCAGTGAGGACTGTTGGAAATAAAAAATTGAGGATAAACGAATAGATGAGTGGAAGATGGAGTGCTGCTTCAGTTCGGTGAAACAACCTAAAATCCTCCAAACAATGTTATGATGCGGTCAAAGTCACATCAAAATGTGTTAGAGGATGCCCCAACTCCTTGTGAGCTCTGAGGAAATTCTGCCATCGCAATGAACATCTACAGGTTCAGTACCATGAGAGCAGCGCTAACTTTCCTGGCTCGACAGCATCTCATTGAATTCTCGAAATAATATGCTGATTCATCCCGGCACAAAAACATCATCCTACAAGTAAAACCCTGAAAACAAAGTCTTCCATTAAGATAATGACTAGTGCGTTTTAACAAAAACTTGTAAAAGAAAGCCGTTAGCGATTGATTGCAGCAGAATATAGAGCCCTAGCAGACAGACTACCAATCCAATGATCAAGTTTATGATTCTGAAGATCCTGAAGGACATTCTGAATAATCAAGATTTCTTGAATTTTGAAGGGAGTTCTCATGTCTGTTAAGGTATATAGTCATATCGGATGTTTTAAATCAGGCCGTAGGTAGATCTTATGCTCTCAGATGTTGTGAGACTTCAAAGAGCTGTAACGTTGTGACAAAGAATAGCACTTTAAAGAGCAAGGCCAAAGAATATGGTCCGAACCAGCTAGGGTGCTGATTACTTGATGAAAGGGAACCATTAAGTGCACTTCCGACATCGCTCAACGTAAAGAACCACTAATTATGCGCAGTGACGATTAGCGGGTTCAAAGATCGTTCCTATCCTTGGATAGGTTTCCGTTTAAGCAGAGAACTCACCCGTTCCCAACCACTTTGACGCTTTCGCCGTTCAGAAAAACTTCTTCATTGTAAAAAGACAATGAGCCGAGAAGGCCCTTCTCTAACTTAAACGTAAACAACTTGTGATTCCACTCTGTTCTTTCTTTTTTCTTTCCGCACAATTTATCATTTTGAATACCTCTTCACGTAGAAGCAAAAACGACAAGCGATCTTCTTGACGATTAGATTAAATTCTGAAACAAGGTTAACCAATGGAAAAAATTTGTCTTCACAGAATAGTCGGTTGTTGGATTTTCAGTTCGGCGCATCATCACCGTCAGTGCATGAGCTGATGGCCTTTCGACGATTGTCGATCAATTGCCCAATCGATGCGTTCGATTTTCTTGCCGGTGTTCTTCGACGGTATGCGATTTTCATACTGTTTTATTTCATTTAGTTCAGAAGAGATAAAGGATAAACCTCTCGGCGTTAATCAGTCCCTGAGGGATGCGCCATGCATTCGATTTCATTAAGCATAGTTTGGAGGTGACTGAATGCATATCTGGATTTTACAATGACTCAGGGTAGCATATCGATGCATCGAGCCAGTGCTGCTATCCTCCCAGACAAGTCTAATAACAATTTGCCGAGCGCGGTAGGATGGAAGGCTTGGCGGGTCATTTGCACGGGGATCAATTCCACGTGTGTGTCGCAGTGGCGCCTCCAACCACTGCGCTACACGCGCCTTATTTATTTTATATGACCCCTCTTCACGTCTACTGTCCGGATCCGTGCACTTCTCACATTCGATTCGTTTCCTCGCACCCATCACCCACGAATGTCTTCCAACTTCTACGCAAGACTTTGGCTGCTGCTTGAGGATTTTCTTTTCATCTAGAATGCTTATCGAGACGATTCTCGCTGGAATCATGAGATAGCCGAGCTAAAGCGTTGCCAACTGCATTGCGGAGAGCGACTTTTCCCGGATAAGTCCAGCATCAATTTCCCTACCCAGGACGGATGAGAGGCTCGATGAGCCTGGAGCGAGATCGAACCGGATCGTACCCGTGATGATCGGCACCCCTACCACAGTGCTATCCCCCTGATTTTCATATAGTTTTTCAAAAACTTTAGCTGATATTTTAATAACACTGCAACTATGAATGCTCAAGCAATGCTCGTTTTCACTGCAAGAATTCTGGTTAAGACTCAATTACCGAACATCCTAGATAAACTGGCGTTTTTAGATCGCGTTCATCACTGACCAGAATGACGGTTGACATAAAACTTCTCGCTAATCTGAAATACGTGAGTATTAATAAATAGCCTTTCCACTCTTTCGATAACATCCTACAACTCAATTTTTCTTTACTGGGTAAACAAACCGAGCGCTCAGAAACAAAACATTGCCTTATAAACCAAGTTTCAGCCAACGATGGAGTCTAACCCTCCTATAATACTATTCCTCAATTCACTACCTTTTACAAAAATATGTTCTTGTTTTTTCAAAGCTGAAGTTTGGCATAATATGCAAACTGTAAGTGGGGCGCACTATTTTATGCTTGAAATTGGACAACTACCGTGAGGACGAATTAGCTGTCCTCCCTTTAAGGACTTTCTAATTTCTACGTCTAGTCATCCTTGCGTGCCTAGAAAATGGTTTACGTAAGACAAGCATTCTGCTGAAATTCTTCATAAATCCAGCCTTCTATTGCAGTGGAAATTTTCTTTCTACCAACATAAAATTTTCCAGTACACTCCTTTTACAATGTTACCAAAGACTGAATTCTCGCAATCTCTCAATCCAAGATTGACTAAGGACATTTATTGGGTTGGGCCATACATCCTTGTCGATTTTAAGCACTTTTATTTTTTTTCGATTCTATCTAACTAGAACATGAACTCAGTTCTTCATATGCTCACCATAATCATGTAGAAAAATCTTTAGATGCTTTTCGATATCTCTTCTCAGAAACTCAAGCGTTGCGGCCTAAAAGTGTTAAGAAGAACGCTACTGCAAACGTGTGCTTGATGAAGTTCTTGTTGCACAGGGAGTACTGGTGAAGCTGGAACAAGCGACAATCTAAATAGGCCATGTCCAAGCTGCACGATAAGTCCGATATGAAGGACCAAGTACCATAGTGCAACAGAGTAGCTGCCTGCGAGTGAAATTTATAGTGTCAGACCAAGGGTTGTCGTGCAAAATCTGAATTCCGAGTATTTCAACAACTTTTTCCTTCACGCAACTTCATGCTTACACAAGTGCTGTGTAGGGGTGGGTGCTGGTCGCTTCGTTCGGCCTTAGCGGCTTATAAAAGTTCATGCTTTGAGAATCGCAAAAGACGGGCTCTATTATTTCGCGTTGGCTGGATCCGATCTCGACAATACTCATGGGTCTTCGTTTCACAATGACCTCGTATCCACTCCAACTCTCATCCCAAGCAAGATCTCCTTGGTTAAGGTGTAAAGCGTCAAATGAGGCCTCACTTTACGACAATCTAGCGAGTTGAAGACTTCATAAGAGCTCTTTAACCGGAACCGTCCTTATGTTCGTTTGTGTTATTTGGCTTAAACGTAGTTCTTATGGTGGGACGGCTAGATTATATAGGAATACCAAGTAGTTAAGATGATTCGGTCGGAATTTGCTGCTCGCCTTTGTGTATGCCACGCGGGACTTCTTGTAAGTAGTAGTCACAATGCCGGAAACCTCAAACTTGGGTAATTAAACCGTTTATCATAATTATACAACAATTATGGCATAACAATACAACTGTACAATTAATACAACAATGATACAAGCAATGAATAGGCGCAGCCTGATTTCTTGTGTTCAGGTTGCTCAAGAGTGAAGAGGTTGTCATAAGACTTCGACCACATGAGATCGATGTGAGGAAAGGATATGGTGATTTGGGCAGCATTGCTGTGACCTGAGCTAGTCAGCCGTGGAGCCGTTTATATACCGTTTGGGTTGGGCGGAGTCAGGCTACAATAGGCGGAGTCGCGTTACAGTAGGTGGAGTGGGGTTACAGTAGGTGGAGTCAGGCTACAGTATGCGGAAGGACGGCTACCGGAAACATTTCACAAGCGTTGCAGTCTGATAAGGCGATAGTCAAAGCATACGACTGTAACCGCAGATGTTTTTCATGAGATAACCGCCGACGAAATGTTAGTCATAAGGTCACCGGAAGCCGTATTTGAAAATGTTTGACATAAGGTTATCAGATCGTCATAGAGAAAAGGTCACCGGAAACCGTATTCGAAAATGTTTGACATAAGGTTATAATTAATTTACATAGAGAACATTCCAATATTCGTAAAGAATGTTCTCTATAGTTCTGTTGGTTTGTTGTCGTTGGCGTGCTGGTACGGAGTAGACATTAGTAGAGAAGACGACTCCAATTTTCCAGTGATCCACTTCGACTTCGTATCATAGTCTTCCACTTTTATGCTTTTTTCCTGTAGGAAGTTCGAGAACACACTTCAACTGTATAAAGGCCACTCTGAACAAATGCCTAAACATAAATCGGTAAAAATTTATGTTTTTAGTTCTTAAATAGTCTTGTTTGCTAGAGCTTGATTAAACTCATTTCACTGCTCGAATATTCAGAAGGTAGGAAATCGTGTGAAGAAATATTTTTTATTGAATCATTTAGAAAAGGTGTTAAAGTTAATGCATTTGTGAACACCAGGTTCGCGTCGACAAAGAAGAACGAAGAAAATATTTTTCGAACGTCGAGGATCTCTGGCTTCTCATTGTGGACTGTAACGACGAAGTTACTACTGAATTTCTTTGCATAGAAGGCCAGTTATTCACTGTAAGTAGTCATTACTCGCCCCGTTTACCTTCTATAAAAGCCATGAAGTGAATTATGCGCTGTGTTTCGGTAGCTTACCTCTTTGTGCTCACTTGGAAGGTTTGGTGTTCCCAGGTGTCAATCTGCATTGTGTAATGTGAAATTCATCTCCAGAAGGGTTGCCCAATGTGTGAAGGAAGTCAGCTTTCCTTATACAGCTGTGAATAAAGACGACCAAGAATCGTTTCTATCCAAAAGGAAACTTAGCCGTAAGGTGAAAAATATTTCCCGAGCACAAAAGACGATCAGTGCTGTGAGGACAACTTCGGGACGACTTGGCCTAACTTCTCTACGACAATAAAGTCTTTCCACGCTGATCAATCCATGAAGGACGCACAATGCATTCGACATCATCAAACATCGTTAGAGGTGACTGAATGCACTTTTGGCCTATACAATCACTTACGGTGGCCTACCGACGTATCCAACCAGTGTGCTATCCTCCCAAACAAGTCCATTACCAATTTGCCGACCCTAAGGGTTGGAAGGCATAGTTAGCTTTTGCTGCGTAACGAACAAATGACCAAGTACGTATTACAAGACACTTCTTGTAAGTGCCCTACACGCATCATTTTTAGACTAAGCGAAAATAAATCTTACAAAAAACACCAGCATACTAATAGAAGAGGAAAGATGTGAAGAGTCTTGTGATGGAACGGACTTGAACATTAAACGATTCGATGGTGTTGCAATAGTTCCTTTGGAAATTTTGCTCATTTCCAATGAAGCTGCCACTTTCCTTACACATTTAGATATTCGCTACAAAATTGGGGACAAACAGAACCAAAAAAAGATTGCTATAAAAATTATAGAAGACAGGAAATAAAAAGTAAACATTGTGAATTCAACTACAGCCTCAGCTTGGCTGGGTTCGATGCCGATGTGGACTCTCCAGATCAATCCCGTTGACGGGTGATTGCTGTGGCAAAGATCGATAGAACTAGCTGAGAGACAGGCGAAACGAAGGATCCGCCCGGTGTGGTGGTGAATGCGTTAACCCTCGGAGGGGGTAATAGCGCGTTGGTTCCCACCGCAGACACCTGCGGTCCGGAGTTTTGCAAATATCTAAGCAATCTTGTGGTTGTATTCCGCTTATTACCCTACCATAAAAATTATAGAAGGCAGAAAATAAAAAGGAAACAAAAAATGATTTGTTTGTATTATATCGCAAGCTGATCTTCTTTAGCTGGTGCGACGTTGGTGTAGGTCTTCGTTGTCGTTGTCGTTATTGTCGGTGTTGTTGGTCGATGGCTGACATTTCGGCGATTTTGCCTTCCTCAGAGCCTGGACGTATTTTATATAAGAATACTTTAATTATTCGTTTGAAAAAAGGCTAAAGTATTAATGAAGATCAAACTTTTAGACAGATGGCGGGTTAGGATGCTACGGTCAAATGTAGCTCTACGTCATATTGAACAGAATGGCTACTCAGGGTGACGTTACGAGCGGAACTGGCCCACGCGTTGTTCACGTGGGGTCGCGAGCAGGACACACCCAGGGGGTTAAGATATCATTTTGAAATAGGGCGCCAGGTCACGTGTGATAGTGAGGCATTCGTCTTTCCGGTTCATCTTTGGATTTCTGAAATTTATCCAAAACGCCTCAAGAGTTTTGTGTGTTGATGGTTTCGATTCCTGCGCTGAGATCCGCACAGTCACTTCAAATTCGTTGCCATTATGCCTCTGCGCCCTTTGCGTACCTAGAGGAGTGTTTTGACGGATTTTAACTTTCCCATCAAGATGTTATGCGGACACAACGCGGTCTACCCGTTTCCGCAATGTATTCCTCACCGCATGTGTGAAATTAGATCAAGTATATTATACCTGAACTCATGCCATCCACGTCTCTTCCGTTAGGACAGATCATACAGTTTTCTGAGCTGCACAAACGATCATAGAGGCGGTTTCGAACTAACTGACGGTGTAAGGTATTAGGTGGGATGTCAATAATCGTTACATAATTTTCAAGACCACTTTTCTTAAACATCTCTTAATGGTGTAACTTACTTCATTTGATATGAAGGGTAGCTTAAAAGCGATCTTTACAAAAAAAAGATTGTCTTTATTCACGTCTTTATAGAAACATCGTGTTTCTTTGGGCCATTGCGGGTTCAAACTAGCGATCATACGCCTATTACAGGGCATCCCTAACTACTGCGCTTAATGTTTCTTTAAGTGTGGCAAGTAAATGTAAAACACAATCGATTTCTATTCTTGTTCCGTTTTTTGGCCGTGAATTTGTTAATGTTTAAGGACATCCTTAACTTCACTCTTCAAGTGCACATCATGCCTAACTACTACGACAACGTCGCCATGGTAGTCAACGCGCTTATCAGTCGACACTCGAAAGCAAGCATACAACTTGAACTTCACGCTCCGACTAGCTCCATGGTATCAATTTTTGGATAATTTTTATTAAAACTTTAATCAGTAGTGTATTAAACTGGTAAGGGCGTGTTACTCAATAATTTAGAAGCAAAACTATTTTTATTCTATCAATCGCTAAACATATAATCACCCCTTCTCACTGGAACTAAACATTAGATTGAACTTAGCTCGACGCTCAATTTCTCACCGAGCTTAAGTACTGAAATCTTTGGTCATTTACCCCATATTTGCACTAATGAACTTTTAGAAACTTATGTTATCTGGTACTGTTGATCGGTTTAAGACCAGCATAATATGATTCATCCATCATTTTACCTTTGTGGTATCGAGAACCGTTTAATCGCAGGGCTACGTGGTCATTCTCGAGGTTGCTAGTAGACGCGAGGCGTAAATCCAAAGCAGTCATATCCTTTGCCAGATGGACAAGTGAATTCAGGGATTCTTGGAATGAACTGAATTCTTCTGTGTACTTCATAGGCTCCCTTCTTCAGTGTGCATATAATTGTGCTCATTCAGGCACCCTGTCACCACCGGTCGCAAAGAGAAGGCAGAGCCTGCTGGCTACGACTTTCATTAAATTGCTAGCGTAGTATATAGTGATAGTTCACATTAAAATAGCGACTTGTTGATCAATGCCGAAGACAAGAGAAAATCGGTACTGGGATTGGCTATAACTCTGTTAAGAGCGGAATTAATGAAGGACTCATACGAAACTTGTGCTTTTCGTCTTGTTCGTCAAGCGACTCTATCCTATTGAGAAGTTTTGGCGTACCACAGGGATGACTAGAAGGTTTGTTTGTGTTCGTTCGAATATCACCACTCTATGACTAACGGAATTACAAGTGATAAGAAAGGACAACACAACAATTCCACGGCTGACAAGCCTTGATGTTTGACTATGGTTTTGGATAAAGTTCTTGCGAACAATGCTTTGATTCCAGATCAGCTGATGGTGAAAAGAAAGTTGTAAGGGAACAATTGCGAGTGTAGTTGTAAATATAGTACTAAAAAGTAAGTAAAAGTGTAAAAGTTCACTACGAAGTTTTTGTTTAGACAGCGGAAGCTCGTAAGCTACAGTGAATCATTTTGCATTTCTAGGTTTTCAGTCAGCTGCTCGGGCTTCACTCACTATGTGCTAGACGAATTAAGATCATCTGTACTGAATTCAACTTACCGTCATTCTGCTTCAGTCGTTTGTATACGGTAATGAAGGAGCACGACATTCGCACTAAGAATCTTGTCGTTAGGTTAGTGAGTTCGTGTACAGCTTACTCACAAATGTTCTCGATTGTCGCCATGTAAGGAAAAAAAGCGAAGTTGATTATGAAATGACGAAAAGACGTAGTTTTAGGAAAATGCATGGAAATGGTGTATATTACACTAGACAGCTAACTAATGACTGCAGTAATTTCCTAAAACAGCAAATAATAAGGATGAAGTTCTTGGCGCTGATCAATCCCTGAGAGATGGACCATGCATTCGACTTCACTAAGCATTGTTGGAGGTTACTGGATGTAAATCTGACTTTATAATCACTCGCGGTGGCCTACCGCTGTATCGGGCCAGTGCTATTATCCTCCTAGACAAATCTCGTACCAATTTACCGACCCCGGAGGGATGTGTTTTGGACTACCAACTGATGGAAGCCGCTTCTATACGAAGGACAAATGAAGCGATAAACAATCCGGGTTCTCTCGAAAAGAACAATTGCTCGGAAGCAATGTCTTTTTTCTACAAATATATTTGTGTATTAAATAAAAATTGTTATATAATACAGGGATTGGACAATTCTGGTCGACGCCTCATCGCCCATTATTGCTTACCCAGTTGACACTCTTCGAATCAGCAGCTGCACAATCGAATCCGTAGACGATCTTGTAGGAGGCCTACGTGTCACTATCAACCAGGTGAGGCATTCATCATCATCATCATCATCTTATCCTGTCCACTGCCATTCATTGGTTTTGGTCACGACGGTGCAGATACTACTATCCAGATCTCAAAGATTTCATTCTATCAGCACCAGAATAAACGTTTTTCCCCTTAGTAGGTTCCAGAAGACAGACGTAGAGAAAACTGTCTGACACAATGATCAATAAAGAACGACTGGTTCTGACACTTTGAGTCAAAATAAAATGCAGAAGAAGCTGATTTCACCATAAAACCTTTGTTTTGCCATTTTCATCGTTGAAAACTTGAGTATATGAATCGGTTTGCTAAAATAATTCCTTCTCGATGAGAAAAATGACTCTTTGTCGAAATGGCAAGATAGCGTAAGGGTGCGGTAACGGCCAGCCGTCGGATGTGGTTAGGTTCAAGAATGAATTCGGCTTCGACATAAGTGAAGACTAATGTCTTCTCATCTCGTTGACCATTTAGGTTGTATTTAAGCAAAATTTATCCTAGAACTCCGAGGTAATCGTAAGAGTACCTTCTCAACTGTTCCACTGTTATTCGCAAGCCCTTGAGAGTGCGAAAGCTCGTTGCTTTTCAACTAGGGTTCTCCAAAAAACACCAGCGGTTTTTGCGACCGGATGATCGACTGATCACAAGAGGATCTAAATGACTACATCAGATTTATCGTTTATCTACAGTTATCTAACAGCAGGAAGTGTTGAAAACAATCTTAGTCGTAGATGCGTTTGCATCGAAATCCTTCGTAACATAAAATTCTATCACCCTGATCACGTCGTTGTCATGGTGTTTGGAGAAGTTACCAGAAAGTCCTGTGCCATTTTCATGTCACAAGAAAACTATTAGTAAATGTACCCACATTCTCCTCATCACAACTAACGCTCAAGCAGTTTTATCTTAAATCTCCGCTTGTATAGCGGTTGCTAGTCGAAATTAGGTCTTCGAATCAGCTTTCGGCACCTCATGATCACTAGCTTTGAGTAGAATGCTCGACTTCGTAGAAGTTGCTACGTGGGATTTTTTCGTATTTGTCGCAGAACAATATCTTAAACTTGGGTAATTAAACCCTTTATAACAATAAGAATTCAAAAATAATGAAATATAAACATTAGTACAATACAGACTGCAATATTGTATCATCATCAATAAATGAGGGTAGTGCGGGTTACTATCTTTGCTATAGGTACAGAGCTACATGACAGCAATGTTAATATACAGCAGTTACCACATACAACAAGAGAGAACACCTTGGATTGACTACAAGGCGCATTACACATGATGAACCAAGGGCGAATACGGTATTGACGCACGGGGCTCTTTAAATATCTTCTGGAGGAGGCGGTGCTTTGGCACAGGTCCAGAACCTTTGCCGAAACACCCATCAGCTTGCGTCTCCAACTCCCTTGTGATCAGATGACTGAGGACGATTTGCCGGACAGCTTCAATCCCCTTTGTGTTACCGTACCCGTGATGGTTTGGAACAGATGTAACACACAAAAGGTTCCGATTGTATAAAAAGAGTGTGGTTCACAAAGGATGTTTACAGCAACTAAAGTTTCTGTCAACGAAGTGAAAACGTTTACATGCTGCAAGATCGCAAAGCGATGTGAGAGGCCACGATTATGGTTACCACAGACCTACGATATGATGAATGAATAGTAACTATTCTGGCAATAGTTGCTATAGCTTGCCTTTTCTAAACGACCCCACGTCGCATCTACGGCGTGAATCCCAGCACTTTAACACCAGATTCGTTTTTTGCACAAAACTTCCTCGAAAGTCTTGGAAGGTTTTGCGCCTAGGATAACCTGTTGGTTGAAGGTTGTCGTCTTCTTTATGAATGTCGTTGAATGTTGATCCTCTCGATCCTCTCTGGGACCTCGTGATAGGTGGTGATTGTTCACGATTAAGCTGACGTTTCGGCGAATTTCGCCTTCTTCAGAGCCTGGAAA